TTGTCAACAGGAAGAGTGAACGATGACCGCATTTTCAAATGTATTGGAAAGGATTTTCAATACATCACGATTACTTTTTTCCCCCACAATGTTGTAATTGTTTTTTTAAAAAAAACTTAAGTCACAAAAAAAAAAAACAATTTTTAATTTTCCAAATTGAATTAATCGCTTTTTTTAAAAAACATATTAAAACAAGCAAAAAAATAAAAACACAATGGTTAAAACTTTTCCAAAATAAATATAGAAGATCAGTGATCAGACTGAATCACACAAGGACACAGTAAGGATTAAATTAGGCCTTCATGAGTATTCCATTTCTTTAAAGCGAATCTCCATGACAATGTTAACCCCTACCTGTAACTGATCACTGGATTAAAAATTAACAAATAACCTAAAAGCCCTTTTAACTTACTCAAAGCTTAGTCATGTAACACTACTATTCCAAGACTTCTCTTCTGTTTGCATCTAGCTAGGTCCTTCTTCAAATGTCTAGGGCACTTCCTATTGGCTGAACAGCAGGGTTCTCTTAGGGTCCTTTCACACAGGCGTTCCGATTTGTTTCTTCAGTTCAGTCACATTCTTTCAAAGAAAAAAACAGATGAGTTTACATCCGTTTTTCATCCATTTAGATCCGGTTTTGGTCCGTTTACATCCGTTTTTGGTCCATTTACATCCGTTTACCATCCATTCTGGGTTTTTTTTTGCTGAAGAAAAATAGGGTTTTCCTCTGTTCAAAAAAAAAAAAAATCGGATGTGGACATTAACCATTAATGGATGTAAAAAGCTGTTCATCCGTTTACATCCAAAAGTCCATAGAAATACATGTGGGTCCATTTTTCATCCGTAAACGGACAGATGAAAAACAGACATACGGAACACCCATGTAAAAGGGGCCTTAAGATGCAGAAAAGAAGTGATGGCAGAATGAGGAGATGGCAGGGGATTGACTGGAATGGGACAATTTGAAACCCTAGGGTTTAGCTGCCCCCACAGCAGGAAATGGCGCTGGTGGAGGATCTGGACAGCGGACTTATATTAGATAAAAAGGAAAAAAAAAAAAAAACAAACAAAAAAACTTCCAGTATGAGTTAAACAGCCATTAGATGATGATTTGATTTTCTTTCCACCATGGGTGGGAGGAAAGAAAATCACTTGATTCCCCCATCAACAGGGAGGGTGGCAGTGCGGGGAGAATTCCCGGCTGGCAGAGCACAATGATTACTGCTAGCAGCTAAAACTGATAGATGGACTTGGGTACAATCAGCCTACCCCGAATCTCGGCCGGTCCCTGCAGGACAAGCCAAATTTTGATCCATTTTTAGCCAGCTTTAGAGAGAGTAAAAGGGAGAGATGGAAGGTAGTTCATATTTTGCCCAAAATGGGGCTTTAAGTATAGTGAAAGTGAGGGACATGGGCCGCTGGATAGGTGATTATAGTACCTCTTCTATAGCAGGGAACTGCATTTAGACTTGTGTAGAGAACAGACAGGATCTCCTCAGTATATTTTCTACTAGTGTACTTTATGTCTGCTGAAGGTCCAGAAACTATGACCTATCAAAAAGTTCTTAAGTAGGAGACATATCTGGCCTACCTGCGAGATTAGCAGAGAGATTGATCTTCAAAGTTACTGGCACTGGCTTTCACACTTGTGAATCAAGTCACTCTTCAAACAGTTATTTTGATACCTTTTAAACCAACAGGAAATAGCATCCGAGATTATTAATAGTCTCTCTTAGTGGCTAGATGGTATTTATTCACATGATGCATGAAACCATCAGTCAACTGTGATGGTTCACGATGGCCATAGAGTACTCAATATCTCATTGGGATGAATACTAGGAGACATACAGTATATGTCCAACCACTGCAGTGGGACCTGCCACAATGCAAACCCAGACAGCACAGGGTGCATGGTACAGTGGATCACACACATTCACATTTCAACATACAAAACGGAATGAGAGCCCCATAAAAGGGTTTTTTTTTCCCAAAGTTTTTTTTTTTTTTGCTAGAAAATATTCCAAAGCAAATTGCTTGATGTGCTTATCACCCTCATCAGTCTGTGCAATAATAAGTCTTAAGCCGGCCACGCAGGGGGTCGAATTCCAAAAGAATTTTCTTTTGAATTTCCGTTTGAATTTCGCACCATTAGTGGGGCCACAGAAATGGCTGATTTTCGTGCAACCATCGAATTTGTGTGATCGGGCATGTTGGAATTTTTTTTAAAAAATGAACAAAATTCTAATCAATGATGGGAGAATCGTGCAAGAAATGTAAATCGAAAAAGAAATCAGCTGTGACCTAGAAAGAAAAGAAAATTCTTGGCCACGAAAATTCTTTTCTGTAGCAATTGAAGGCTTGGTTGGTCGAATTTCGAAATCAATGGTGGCGCCATCGAATTACAAAACGCATGAAATTTCAAATTTTCTAAAGAAAATTATTTCGGAATTCGACCCATGTAGGCCTGCATTAGTCTAGACCTGAATAACACTTGAAATAAAAGAATTGTATGTTGAAATTCACAGAGTCCAATCATACTTCACCATCCATCCATCCAGAAGAGTCATAACAATGACTAACAGTTTCTGATTGGTTGCTGTGAGTTAGAACACTTTGTAGATTACTAAAATAAAATAGTACCACAGACAAAATACAAAAGTCAGTATTTAACAGAAACAACTACTTTATCTGATTTTTTGCTTTTAAATACACTATTAGGAAAAGACCAAATAGCAGTTATATACCATGCAAATGGAAGTCTTCCTCAGAAAATGTCCTGTTTCTGTTGGTTCCATGCCATTAAACCAACTATTACAAACAAAGCAATTCCAACCAGCACTGAACCCTACCCCTGACAACAGTTTAGGGATTTAAGCTCGCCATAGATGGAAACAAAAATTGAATTTCTATCCATCTATAGCCATTCCCACTCAAGAGAAATCAATCTAATGATGGACATCTCTCAAACGGGAATGTTGGAAATTGGCTGCAGTGCTGATCAGTGCAATCTGACAGCAGAAGAGTCCCCACTGTCAGAATACAATAGCACAGCAGGGAGGATTTCTCCATCTACCTCACTTCTGCAGATGGGGGTATCCTTTTGGTTTTTTTTTCCTGCTCAGCCCACTGGTTCATGGAGAAAAAAAAAAAGATCCATCTATGACCAGCTGCAAAAATGTTTATTCTAACATTCTCAAAACAATTAGGCTCGGTTCACACTAGACGTGATTATGATCTGACTTTAAAGTCGACAGCTTTGAAATCATTACTATCATTCCCAGTGTTCAATTACACGAACCTGTTCTAAAGGATGTTATAAAATTCAGAGCAGGAAATGCTCTTTTTTCCCCATGGCATGACTGGAGCAAACCTATTCACACAACAGAAGTGGATATTTGTGTAAGAGAAAGGCAGATTAATGCAGGCCAAACATGGGCCGACTTCCAAATGATTTTTCGTTTAAAAATCGAAAACGTCATTCCCTCGGTAATCCAATGGTGCCATCAATGATTTCGAAAATCAGCTGACCCAGTCATAAAGTTCACCCCATATAACAGGTGAAACTTCTGTTCCTTCCAGGTCACGGCTCATGCGCATATTCTTTTTGGAAAAACGATCGTACGATTTGACCATCATTGAGTCAAAAATCAGTCGTTTTTCCCGAATTTTCCAACATGCCCCATCACCGAAAAGGGGAGGAACCATGAAAATCGGTCGGTGCCATTGACCCACTAACAGAGCGAAAATCGGCCGATTAATCTTAGGTCTGATTTTCGGACTAAAAATCAGTCGCATTTCGACCAATGTATGGCCAGCATAAGTCCTCATGCACACTGGACATTTTTACAGCAGCTGTTTTTGGCTTTTTTCTACAGCCAGTAAACCCCCAGCATGTTATCCTATGTGTCCAAGCACAAAGACTGTAATCCATGTATTTTGGAAAAAAAACCCAGGACTAGTGGGTTTCTAGAGAAGTTTTTTTAGCTGTAAAAATGCTCCAATTTATTTATTTATTTCAGGTACTTATATAGCGCTGTCAATTTACGCAGCGCTTTACATATATATTATACATTCACATCAGTCCCTAACCCTCAAGGAGCGTACAATCTAAGGTCCCTAACTCACATTCATACACAGACTAGGGCCAATTTAGACAGGAGCCAATTAACCTACCAGCATGTCTTTGGAGTGTGGGGAGGAAACCGGAATACCCGGAGGAAACCCACGCAGTCACAGGGAGAACATGCAAACTCCAGGCAGGTGGTGCCGGGGTTGGGATTTGAACCAGCGACCCTAGTACTGCCGGGCGGAAGTGCTAACCATTTAGCCACTGTGCTGCCCACTAATGCTGTAAAATGCGGCAAACCAGCATTTTTGGACTTTTTTGTAGCCAAAAATATTTTTTTTTTGTAAAAAAAAAACCTAATAAAACTCAAACACAAAAAGACACGGCAAAATGCTTCTAAAACGCTAAAAACCTCACGTTTTTAATGTGACTTTTCACAGCTAACGATACCAGCGTTATTAAAACATGGAGCCTTACAGTAGTTGTGAAACTTCAAAACCAATCTCAAAGTTTCCTAAATGATGAGAATTACAGGCAGCCTGGCCTTTCCCAGATTATTCACACATCTAGCCAATATAGCAGGGGTTGCCAAACTTTTCAAACAAAAGGGCCAGTTTACTGTCCTTTAGGCTTTAAGGGGCCTGGATTGTGGCTAGTGGGGGGCAGAAAATGCCCCGGGTGAGAATTAATATGGCCTCGGGCTTGATAGTCAATAGGAGGAAGAGCATTGCGCCATCATTTGTATTAGTGAGAGGAATAGTATGCCATCACAGTGGAAGAAATAGTGCCCCATTGCTGGTATCAGTGGGAAGAAAAGCACTCAATGCTTCATATCACTGGGAGAAATAGTGCCCCAAGGACCGGATAAGGGCTAGCAAAGAGGCACATTCCGGCCCTCAGGCCACAGTTTGGAGACCCCTGCATTAAGGTTAAAGCGGACCTCCACCCAAAAGGGGAAGTTCCACTTTAAGCCTTTGTCCCCCGCTCCCCATTAAGGATTGGCACCTTTGAGGAGCGGGTACCCGTATTTGACAGGTACCCACTCCCACTTCCGCTGTGATCGCCTAGGAGATCGGAAGCGGAAGTTGTCCCCCCCCCCACCCGTAGTCTTCTGGTACACGTGGCAGGTTCCAGAAGACTACAGGGCCATTCACAAAGTGCAGCTCTTCTTGCACATGCACAGTGGGCACCCGGCTGTGACAGCCACACTGAAGATGACGGCGCCAGGGAGAGAAGACAGCCAGTGAAACCAGCAGTTGTGAGGACACCGTTGGACTGAGGGACAGGTAAGTGTCTGTATTTTAAAAGTCAGCAGCTACAGTTTTTGACTTGTTTTATTTTTCCAGGTGGAACTCCGCTTTAACACATCGATGTTTGCAACATTTTAAACTACACATGCTTACCTATTCATCATTAAGCCAAACACAAGGTCGACATTACTCATAAAACTTTATTTAGCCAACACAAAACACATAGCCACTAGCAGACTATCCCACTGTAATGCATTTCAGCAAATGCTGGCTTAATTATAGAGAAATCTCAGAACAACATCAGAACAGGAAGAGAAGAAAACCTTCCAGTGACACTTGTTCTTATGATAATTCTCTAAAAGGTGATTTTCTACACTTTGGACAGATTTCCTCTCACTTCCTGTTGTGCTTACAGGACAAAAATTGAAAAGAACTTCGGCAGCAAAGTGACTTAGTGGTTAGCACGCCTGCCTTGCAGTAATGGGGTCCTCAGTTTGTACACATTCTGCATGGAGTTTTTATGATCTCCCTGTGCCTGTGTAGGGTTTCCTCTCTCTACCCTGGGCTGGCAGGATAACTGGCTCCTGTCTAAGTTGGCAATGTTGATGTATGCGTATGTATGCATATAACACAGGCTTCAGAAACTGGAGTGGGGGTTAGGCATTCAAGTAGTGAAGCCATTAGTACAACATGACAGCCAAGGAACTAGCTTTCTCAGAAAAGGTAAGTAATGGCTGCCTACATATTTACATCAGCATGGGTAGACCTTGGGATTATGCCAGCTGGTCACATTCACACTAAAAATGAAAAAGTTTAAAAAGACTACAGTCTACTTTGAATCTGTAAAATCTATTGGTTGTCTTCGGATGAAGCAGAGCACTTGATGTACTAATGCCCCGTCCCACTGTGCTAAGCACTGAGAGTTCTGTTGTTGTTAATCGGCTGAGTTATCATGACTTCCATCGTATCAGCTGAGAAAGAGCTGCTAATGTAGTTTTTGGAACAAGCCAACGGTGAGCTCTCCGCACCAGACACACACAGCGCAGACGTGCCTTTGTGAGCGTGTTCTAGAAATTGTGAGATAAACAATAGCTGGTGTTAATGGAATTTAGTTGTCAATGGTTGGTCTAATCTAGCATGTATAGAGATGGGGAAATGCAGCAGAGCTTGGCCGACTGGCGGAATGGCGAATAATCAAATCGCTTATTGACATAGACTTCAATCTGAGTGCTTAAACTGGGGCCAACAAAAGAAAATTGCTTATATGGAAATTTGTATCCTGTGTTAGCTACTTGATTGTAAAGTTTGATTTTTTTCGCAGGATTGAGTAGTTTACATGACAAATAATCCTGGTCATGAAATTAAAGCCCCAATCCAGCACAAGCTTAATTCAAATTTTTGTACAGAGTATTTTTATTCCTGTCTGCTACTCCATTGGAGAGGTTTCCCCCTACTTTCTATTAGAAGGCCCAATTTTGTTGCCTTTGCATTATCACAAGTTGGCACTCTGCCATTGCAAGAAATTAAGCTACCACCAAAGAGCCCACTTACCTCTGCAAGCGTGTACCAGCCCTGAGGAAGAGGGAGGCAATTCCCCCCGAAACAGGTTCACTCATTTTGTAAATTTTTGTACCCTTCGATAAACATTTGTCATCTTATATCAAGAGTTGTATCATCTGGACACATGACGCTCCTCTCTCCCCATCCAAGCATTGTTTCTACTACAATAAGAAATTATACAAAATTCCACCAGAGGGGACACATACTGTAACTAATCACTCCTGATTTATTAAATAAAGGGAAAGCCAAGAACCACTGTAAGGTTTTACCATCCTCTTCCTGTCCGAGGAGAGAACTGCTCCTGTTATTTCTTTTACTGCTGTCACTGGAACAGGAAGAAAGGTGCAATATTCCCAACGGGGTCAAGGAGAGTTATAAAAAAAATTGCAGATTTAAAGCGGAATTCCAACTGAAAAAAAAATAAATAAATAAATAAAAGTCAGCAGCTACAAAAACTGTAGCTGCTGACTTTTAAAATACAGCCACTTACCTGTCCCCTGGTCCAGCGGTGTCCTCACCACCGCTGGTTTCATCGGCTGTCTTCTCTCCCTGGCACTGGAATCTCCAGTGAGGCTTTCACAGCCAGGTGCCCACTGTGCATGCGCAAGAAGCGCCGGCATCTTCAGTGTGGGCACCTGGCTGTGACAGCTTGCGGCTTCACAGCTGGGTGACCACTGCGCATGTGCGAGAAGCGCTGAGCTTTGTGAATGGCCCCGTAGTCTTCTGTGACCTGTCACATGTCCCAGAAGACTACGGGGAGGGAGCGGGGAGGACAACGTCCACTTCCGATTGCCTAGGCAATCGCAGCGAATACCTGTCAAAATCGGGTACTCGCTCCCCAAAGGTGCCAATCCTTTTGGGTCTAACTCCGCTTTAATTAGTCTTTCCAAAACCGAAAACGTTTTGACTGGAGTAGGATACCTTGGACCCATTCAACTCATTTTACAAATTATTAAAATCAGTTACTCAGTCTTCCTGATTCCTCATTCCAAAACCTGTGATTCTACATACATGCAAGTCACACATCAACAACATAGTAAATGTATACTTGTTTGTATTATACAACATGCTGGAGAGAACTGTTTCTTCTTCCTTTTATTTCTAATTGTGTGGTGAGTAGTATCTTTGGCTGCCAGGTAATTAGCTATGACAGGGGACAATATCATTTTCCTAAGGTAAATCTATCACAAACTTTGCCAATTCCAACTAAATTCAAGATCTGCTTATCACTTCTGCTGCCTTTATCTCCAGACCTACTGAAGCTGGGTACACACTGTCCTGCTGAACCAGCTGACTTTTCTGTCTGGCAGAAGCCAGTCTAACCACTGACATTTGTTGAAGAGATGTGCTGAAAAACCAGTATTCAGATCAGAACTTGCAGCCAATGGCTGCGAACGGTGATCACTGTATTAGCACACGGGGATATCACTGAACCAACATCGCTTGTGTTGGTATGGCGATCTGTCAGGTTTTTTTTTTTGTTCAACTTGCTGGGTTGAATGAAAAAAACTTGCAGTGTGTAACAGGGCTTAATCATTTAAAAATGAGAATTTAGTAATCAACTGCTCGTGGTGCTTTTCATCATATGTTCAAAACTGATCCAGTCTGCAGTAGGTTTACTTTTTAGGGGAAGACCCTTTCATCCCTCCGCAGGCTTTTGCAGTGCATGTTCTGTTGACATTCTTTTCTATTTTTGCAGGTATGTTTTAATAAATCTAAATTAGTTTTCTTTTTAAATCCAAAAGTAGATGAAGGGTAACAGAAAGTGACAAATGACTAGTATTGACTTTATGTCCCTTCTGTGATGTGTAAGATAATGAAATAGGCAGGGAATAATTAGTGTCAACTTTTAGAGTACACTGAGGCACAATTTAGGGTCCTTTAACACTGATGCACTTTTGATACGTTGACATTGACTTACAATGGAAGGTGCCTTTTTGGTATGCTTTTGATAAACTGCACCAAAAAGGCACCTTCCACTGAAAGGCTTGGTTCACATATGTGCGGGTGGTGCCGCTGCAGATCTGCACAAAAATCCATGCAGCCCCACCACCCACACAGAAAAATGTGGACCCGCGGGCAGGTGCCATTAATTCTAATGGCTCGCCGCCCGCACTGGAAATCACAACCACCCTGGGAACCTCGGTTCCCGTGCACGTTGCGTTTCCAGAAGTGCAGGGACTTCTTCCCTGCGTGTCCCGGGGTACAGAGTCCATTCTCATGCCCACGGAAAACACGGACCTCAGGAATGCACATATGTGAACCAGGGCTAAGTTAATAGAACATGCAGGACTTTTCAATGCACAGCACACCTACTGTGTGATTAATTGCATAGGATTTAATAGGGAATCGTTTTCATGCGCTTTTGTCTCCCTAGAAAAAGGCGGTAAAAGCACACCAGTGTAAAATAGGCCTTAAATCAGCCCTGTCCGATATCATTTTTCAACCAATTAAACCTTTATCAGAAAAAGTCAAGTGAGCAAAACAGAGATGCAAAGAGGCAGATATGCCAAGGTCAAAGAAAATTTCTAATGACTCCTACAGAAATTTTGCTGTAGTAGAGCTATCCTGGAAAACTAACTCAAGGTTACAGTCTAGTCCAAACTCCACAAACTGAGAAAGTTTGGAATAAAAGCTACATTGCTGGTAATGGACATCCTGACAATCTCTTCATCAGGAGGCATAATATAAATAAGACATTTTAAAAGAACTCCTGAACAACATTACGAGAAGTGTAAACCACTCTGAATTATTCAAAATTCTGTGCAGAAATAGCTCACCTGTGAGTGGCAAGACAAAAACACCTTCCTTCAGAACACCAAAGTCACTTTAACCACCTCCCGCCCGCCATATAGTAATATGACGGACGCAAGGTGGTTCTCTCGTTCCCATTCTAACCGTGCATGCGCGGCTCCCGGAGCGTGGCGATCAGCGGTGCGCCGTATCCCTCGGACACAGCGGATCACCGATCCACGGAAAGAGCCGAAGATGTCGGCTCGGTCATGTGATCAGCTGTGTCCAATCACAGCTGATCACATGTAAACAAGAGAAATGCCGGTTATCGGCATTTCTCTCCTCTCGAGCTGTCATGCTGACAGCTCGAGAGGAGAGGAGAGCCAGTAATCGGCATTCTGCGGAGGGGACATGTACACTAATCATCAAGGCACTGATGATCAGTGTAGCCCCAGCAGTGTTAGCTCTCAGTGCTCATCAGTTCCACATGCCAGTGCCTACCAGTGCCACATCAATGCCACATATCACTGCCTACCAGTGCACATCAATGCCACATATCAGTGCCCATCTGAGCTGCCTTTCAGTGTCACCCATCAGTGCCAGTCAGTGCCACCTATCAATGCCTCAGTGCTGCCAATCAGTGCCGCCTAACAGTGCCCGTCAGTGCCACCTAACCGTGCTATATATCAGTGCTGCCTTTCAGTACCCATCAGTGATGCCTGTCAATGCCCATCAGTGCCACCTATCAGTGCCCATCACTGCAGCCTCATTAGCGCACATCAGTTAAGTTAAGGAAAAAATCACTTATTTACAAAATTTTATAACAAAAACTAAGAAAAAACTTTTTTTTTTCAAAATTTTCAGTGGTTTTTGGTTTAAGAAAAAAATTAAAAAACCCAGAGTTGATTAAATACCACCAAAATAAAGCTCTATCTGTCACAAAAAAATGATAAAAATGTCATATGGGTACAGTGTTGCATGACCGCGCAATTGTCACTGAAAGTGCAACAGCGCTGAAAGCTGGAAATTGGCCTGGGCAGGAAGGGGGTATAAGTGCCCTGTAGGCTTGTGGCTAGAAGACTTGGATTTTTCTTGTGACTTCTGGATCGATGATAAAAAGGCAGAATTGTGGGTCAATTTAATTCTAGCAAACACAAATTTCACATCTCAGAATCTTCACTAAACTCTTGGTCAGCAACTGCAGGAAGCAGTCTTTAGAGCCAAGGGCTGGTTCTCACCATAAAAAATGCACTCCAGATCCGTTCCAGATGAGTTTCTGCATGCGTGTTTGTAATGCGTGTTGGTGCGTTTTTAAATATGCTTCCGGATGCATTCCAAATGCCATTTTCTGTGTTTTTTTTCCCACTGTATTGGAGCCCAGTGAGTTTTTAATTTTTTCAGATACATTTTAACTCATTCTAGTATAGTTCAGTGCAGGAAAAATGCAATGTCTTTTTTTTCTGGAACTAAAATGCCCTGATATGACTGCACAGGTGTGAACTATGCCATTGGAAACAATATAACCTACTTTCCATACATTCTGATGCAGAAAAAAAAAAACAAACACTCTGGACTACAAGTGGTGTGAACTGGCCCTAAAGGTCTATGTATGTTAACCCTTTCGTAACCATAGGTCACTGATGCCTAGATGACCAGACCAATTTAGAAGCATCAGCATATGTCAGTTACATAGTTAGTCTGGCTGAAAAAAGACAAAAGTCCATGCAGCTCAACCATTAAAAAAAAAGTTATAGCCTTATATACCCACAGTTGATCCAGAGGAAGGCAAAAAAAAACCCAGCAAAGCATGATCCAATTTGCTCCTGCGGGGGAAAAATTCCTTCCCGATCCCCTGAGAGGCAATCGGACATGTCAGTTAACTTGACAATAATCTGCATACCTAAATAATCTTTTTAAAATTTTGTTACGGACTAGCATGGCTTTTATATGGTACACTGTTTAATGACACTATGATCCGTTTTTTCCCATCAGCTGACAAATCCTATAAAATGTTTTCGTTTTTTTTAAATTACTTTATTTTTTTTTTATTTAACATTGTACTTGAACTGAACGATTACAGTATTAAACAGATTAAACAGGGAATCATCCCATGGATGTGGTCACTGTGTCTGCACGGACTCTCAGCAGTGCTGGTGGGTGGTGAGTGATCTTTTACAGTCAAAGTAATAGCTGGTGGTTTGTATTGTTGTCATCCTATTACCATGAATGATGAACCCCCACCATTCACAACACAACAAGCTGCTAGCTGTGACTATGACCATAAAAGGTTAACACCCCAGACACGCTCCGAGCCAAGAATCAGGGAATGGCCGAGACTGCTGTGCCTTCGCTCTCTGAACTGAGCCCTGTGCAAAGTGTCTGCCCCACATGCCTGGTGTCCGAACTTCTCCAGACATACAGCCAGCAAAATCTAGTGTGATTTGATCAGAAGAGCATTGATCTACAAAGAAAGGGGGCAGGGGGGGTTTGGGCTGGACTCAGTTCTGTGCTGTAAGTTAGCCCACAGGAACACCCATGCATTGGGCTTTAGTATGGGGTGGAGTTACAACCAGCAGAAGCTTAAAAAAATACATAATTTATGTTCACAATGCAAGCACGGGACCAAATGATCTATGCAAGTCCCCTGAGGAATTCCAGATGGATTTTTGGAAATTTTGTTGGGGGTGCTTCTTTATTAAAAGTCAAAGGTTTGCTGAAGCCAGGAAAGCAGGACAGGAGAAATACCTTTACTATGGCTTATCCCTTAATGCAATCAGATGAACCAATAAAGCATATGCCATGGCAAAACATGTTTTATCCCTTTAAAGACTCTGAAAGTAGAGAAAAATTCCTTTTGATATCCTAGAAATGCTCTCAGCTCCAAAGTCCTGTTGTAGGCTGAGAACACCCAGCATTTTTGTGCACAGCAGTGTAAGCCCCCGCCAATGTCCTTTGCTAAACTACGCAACAACTCCCATCAGTCCAAGATAAAGCTAATTGCTAAACTACAACAACTCCCACCCTAAAATATTTACAAGATAAAGGCTAATTGTTAAACTACACAACAACTCCCACCCTAAAATATTTACAAGATAAAGGCTAATTGCTAAACTAC